GTTTTCGATCCATTGGGGCATACACATTGTATACCCCCCAGAGTAATCCATCCATTTCGAAAACGACCCATATCCACTTTCCTTCACAATCCCAGAAGTAATCATGAAAGGTGATGGGCAGATTAGGTTTGAATAATATGGCAACCCCACCTTTTGTGCCTACTGCAGGTGCCCAAAATTGTGCTCCGCGCCACCAGGACAATTGTGCATTAATTGCTTGTCTGTTCAATTTGGTTTCTTGTAGGCAGACAATTGCAGCACCATTATTCCTAGCCACTGTTTTTATAAGGGAACGTTTGTAAGCCACTTGTCTTGTTCCCAGGCCACGGACATTCCAAGATAGTACTTTCAGTTTGTCCATTTAATGAGAACTAGATAGGAAGGGGGAGATTAGTAAAAAAAAGGGCCGCAGAGAGAGGGAGAAAAGAAGGAAGTGGAGAAAATTAAGAGTAAGTAGAAAGAGTTAAAGAAATTAAAATGTTAGTCAGGAAGTCACATTAGAAATGAGTGGAATTAGTCAACCCATTTCTGCATCATGAGTCCCGCGAAACCCGGTTCAAACAGCTTAAGCTGAGGCGGCATACAACGGTTTACCTCATGGAAGAGTTCCGCTGTCCACAGCCCACCAAGCTGTGTGGTAAGGGTCATGGGGTCATCCAAGGCGGAAAAATTCCGCCAAGGTATCCAACGCGCTGCTGGCATGTTTGCCACCTCCTGGCCTCCCTCAGGTCTCCGAGCTTCAATGAAGAGGAAAAAAAACGTTATCTCTTCTCCGTTTGGGTAAGTCTTTGGGATCTTGATCCATTGAACCTCAGACCATTTTTGCAGTCGATAACCTGATCCCAGCCATTTCTGGATCTCTGTTATAATTTCATCCATGTTGGGCTCAGTATCACAAAAGACGTGAGGTATGTAGAGCACTGGATTCTCTTGTCTAGCCGTGAGCAGGCTCAGTTCTTCTTCGTTCCACGCCAGAATGAGTGGGAAAACGAGGAAAGGAGGCATAGTGTGGTCTTTGTGTTCTTCCAATCTCCGTCCGACTGGCATGCCATGTTGTTGTTGTTGATCTTTTCTGGAATCATGTCGTGTGTCTCCCCATGCTCCAAAACCACGTTGCGATGGGCCCGCTGGTTCTGTCACAGATCCACCCCCTTCTCCT